CTTTTGTTGCTGGAGGTCCTCTTGTGATCGAATGGTTCTGTGGATGTTCAGCATTCAATTTAATGCTGCAGTGCATCCATCCATCCATTTCTTAACTGATTCATCCAATTCAGGGTCTCAGGGGAGCCCGAGCCTATCCCAGAAAGCAATAGGTGCAAGGCAGGGTACACCCTGGATGGGACACCAGTCCATTGCAGGGCAGACAGACACAGGCACGCCCACACTCACATCAGGGCCAATGTTCTGAAAGCCAATTAACCTGCCAGCTTGTCTTGGGACTGTGGGAGGAAACCAGTGCACCCAGAGAACACACATACTGTACTGTATGAACACAGGGAGAAAATAAAAATAGCATTTTCAACTGTACCACGGAGCTGCCCCAAAACATCTCTTCTCTGTCTTAATTCAATGTGACCAAGAATGCCAAAATCCAAAGCAGAAAACCACTAGAAATCTGGAGCAAAGAAGTTCTAACAGCAGTTCGATCACAACATTCTTCATTGATTTGAAATCAAATACAAGACAAACAGGAAAGAAAAATAGTGTTACTTGCTTTCTGTCTTAGCATGTGACTCCGAGCACCAGAATGCTCAATTGTAACTTTTGAGAAAACCTCAATTTGCAAAACTGGGATTTACAGCACATTCTGTGCACAGAAATAAATAAAGCTAACAGAAACTAGTGTGCATGTACAGGGTTTCTCACAAGGCAGCTGTTTAATATTTATGCCTTAGGGCCTGATGTCCCACTGTAGGTGAGTTACCTACTGCATCGAACACACTGTGTTTTTAATAAGAAGAACGGTCTGCCTCATAGTAAGAGTTTTTTTTTATTTCAGTATTCTAATCATGATACCTTGTTTGTGCTGTACAAAAATTCCACTTTTACCCATATAATATTTGATAATGAAATGTGAAAAATCAATATGTTGCAGATATGTAATTACACTTCTTTTATTGAACCCCATATGTGTTACATGCTTAACTAGCAAATTCTTTGCAATAATTGATATCCATAGTGAATGCATGTGACGCATTACTGCTTTCTCATTAACATTCAATTATTTTCAAAACCTAAAACACGAGATCACCAGTGCCGTTTATTGCAAATCATTCATTTCATTTCGAAAGACGCGAAAGGACAATTGAATTTAAGCCCCGTCTTAAATATTCCCTGGAAACTAATTTAAGCACCACTGAGAATAATAATCCTATCTAGTTCTGCTATTTTCTGCATTTTTATGGTGTTTCTTGCTTTTTCTTTCTCATTCTGTCTTTTTTTTTTATTTGGTAAATCAAAACTGCTGAATTATGTCAATCTCCAGCACAAAATCAATGTTCCATTAAAATTGAATGATCAGGATGCTCTTAATAGCATCTGAACAGATGCTTCAGCTGCTATACTGTGCATCTTACTTACACTGTCTCTCCCAGAAGAAAATAATGCTACGCTTTGTCTTTTTTATTGGTGTTGGTTGTATTATTTTTTAGCACAATTCTGACGATGATTATTAATTAAAAAGCCATTACCATGGTACAAGTCTTTGTTCGGAGGATATTGTGCAGTTATCAGCGAGGCACTCCGAAACATCACAATGCACAGCTTCAAAGACGCCTCACACATCTCATTAGCTCAAATGTGCTTCAGGTCTTTTAATGTTCGAGACGTTATCTTTTATTTGGGCAAAGTTAATTTTCACAGACAAAGAGGGGATTGCTCTAGGACTTCGAGCTCAGCAATGAGGTTCGGGTTTGTTAAGCAAAATCGTGATACCCTATCATAGGAGTGTTCGTTTTTCATCTGCTGCACCTTTCTTTTCTTGTGGTACGAATGGAATTTGTTTTCGAAAACACAATCAAGAGGGTCTATAGTCCCACTGAATTATTTCATTCAGGTTTTTCAGAGAATCATTCCTGAGCTGCTTTTAAGTTTTGGTTTATTTGTAGTTTTAAGGTATTATAGCTGCGATTCCCAATGATTTAAAAAATAATAATAACAGCTGTTGTCCCCTTGCACCATCATGCCCTGATTGGATTTATCAAATGGACTCTGTTAATTACATTGCATTAGTATGCACATTAAACACATTGGGAGGACAATTTAAATGTGAATCCTATGTAGGCTATACCAGTTAACAAAATGCTTGTGTTTACAGCGAGGACCTCCCTGCTAGTTTGACTACAGGCCTTTCACACACGTGACTCCACGTATGAATGTTTGAGCACCTACAAACTGGTTCACATTTGGAAATCTAAAGTCCAAGACCAAGCACACCTGTGGCACACAATGAAATGTCAGACATAAACAGCATCACAGGCCCCCACAGCTTCTTTTGTGGTTGTGGTTCACAATCCTTTGCTCTTTGTCTTTTAGAGCTCTTGCCCCCAGCCCTGACTCCTTGCCGTAGTGGTGGGTTGCCTCACAAAGATCTTAGCATTTCTGACACACTGTCGTCCTGCCAACATGCAGACAGGAAGACCCAAGCCAAGTTTTATATATCTTTCTGGCAAACAGTGCCATTCGGGGATCACTGCTATAGTCAGCCGTGTCCTGCCTGCTACATGTCACCCTTAATGAGATTGTTAGAGCTGTAACACAAGTAGTAAATAAAATCTCCAGGGGACATTTGCCAATGGGTTATACAGTTTTCTACCCTTTCATGTCTTTAACTGGCCAGTGCATTGCAGAACCATCATAATTAACAAGTATCTTCCCCAAAGTGTAGCTCAGTGAATGGCAGGCAATGCAAAAAGAGTTTTTTCGTTCCGCAATGAGAAAAAGTAGCCTTTCTCAGCGTAGATCCTACAGCCTCAGCTGGTGACTGAAGAAGGCCTAATTAACACCAGAAGTTTCACTTCCAATCATAATCTGCTGACTCTGCCCCTGTCAGTATGAGATCTGGTGCTTTGAAATCCAGGCAGAAAATTCCCAGCAAGTGTAAATTTCTCTTAAAACCTCTTGTAGAGTTTCACCTCACCTAAGGTGAAAAACTACTGCTGATGTAATTTGTAAAAGCACTTCGTGGAAAACCACAAGACTTCCTGTTGAAAAGAAAAACTGTTGCTTGTTTTTTTACCATTTGATTTTCTCTTGCCAATAAGGAATGGCCCCTTCTTCACCTTTGCACATTGCTACATGACTTCTTCTGGCACAGGAAGGATAGAGACAGCATACAAGTGTCCTCAGCAGTGAGTCCTACAACGCCAACAGTGCTGCTTAAGCATTAGAGAGAGCACTGACGCAGCTCTTACTGATCACACTGCAAGCTTGCAATTCAAGGGGCTCGGTTTAGGACTGATAATGTCATCCATTCGTTGACCTGGAGGAAACCCACAAAGAGCTGGTGCCCAGAACCTCAAAACTATAAAGTCTATCCTATATTATGATTAAAGACATTTAACCGTGGAACTACAGTACTTGGGTACAATGGAAATATTTCTCCGACTTCTAAATTAAGTGTGTATAGTGCACAAACAATGGGTCCAATATGTAACTTTTCCACCTGCTGTATTAAAATAAGCACTCCCAAACACAGTTCTGCAGTCAAGGTGAACATATCAGCTTTCTGGTGAAGCATCTACATCAGGCTCTACATGATACACTAAACACAGCTAGCAGATGCTATGGCTCTATCTACTGTGTCTACATTACTCCATGTAATGTATGGCCCTTTTAATTTGGCATGTACACATTGGGAACTTTTCTACATTTGGAACAGAGAAAATGTGATGATACCCTTTGTATTCGTAGGGATAACATGATTCAGAATATCGTGTGCAGGTTTGGTAAACATATTACAAACAAACTTATTTCCTACCCTGGAATCTGTTGAAAGTAGCTTCTGTTTAAATAGTCCTGGTCAAAGACTCCTTGTCCAGTCCATATGAGATACAGCATAGTGCCAGGTTAAATTAGGTTTCTTATGTTGGCAGGCTAAAAAGGATTGAACCTTTATAGTCCTGACTAGAGAAGTCCAAAAAAAGGATCTGATTCAAATATTTAAAATCCACAGAATCAAAAGTGAACCAGGAGAAACAGGCAAAAACTGAGAGGAAGTGTACAGTACGTAAAACTGTGAAGAGGAGGCATTTCTTCACACAGAGCGTTATTAGAGTCTGGGACAACCTACCCAGCCACTGTTGTGTGGCTTCTTTAAAGACACAGCTTCAGACTAATTAAATTCTAGCACCCAGACGAGCTATATACTGTATATATAAATTAAATGGTCTCCTCTTGGCTGTAATTTTCTGGTGTTCTTAACAAAACCACCTGTCCTCTAGTTCTCAGATACAGTTCTATCCTCATGCCAGCAAAGATGTGGCAGGAAATACTCTCTTTAACCAGTGGCAATAAAGAATAACACACTGTACAATAGAAACAAGTGCTGCAAGCCCTCCACATTTATTCCTGCTATGATCATCTTCCTTTGAACATCCGTGTGCCCCTGAAACAAATCAATTAACAGCCAATTAAGCTTCAGTGGAACTTTTCTCTGCGCTGAAGACATACCAGCTCCCTGATTCCTGCAATGCTCAAACGGACGTGTGGCCGTGTGAATTCAAAAGAGCACCAATTTCTACACCGAAACACACAAATTATCCTCCCGACTGCTTGTGCTTATTCTAAATGTGTGGGTTATTTGTGATTTGTTTTTTTAAAGTGTACTTTCAGACTCTTTTTTGATTCAAGCGGACTGCAATTAAAATTCTGCTTGCTAAGAAAATATAATAATCGGCTTTCTTTCTCAAACCTGTGAAAAGGAAGACGTGTTGACTTGTGCAATTCATCATTATCTAATCGCACATTCTACAAATGCATGCAGTTTACTAACGCAGATTACAGGCACACAGTTGTGATACTGTACAATGACACATTATAAAACTGCAGCCCAAATGACAAACATTTTAGATTGCTTACTTACAGAATTTGATCTATATCTCTCAATATCAGTAACAAGCACTTAAAAAGCCTTGAGCAAGAACTGATTGTACCTGGAATAATCCGAATCCTAGTTCCAATTTATTTTTATGAAATATGAAACTCAGTGTCATCAAATCTTAAACATTAGAGACATGCAATTCTAAAATACAGAGAAATCTCATTCATAGCGACAAAGCACTTCCTAGCACTGAACAGACAGCACATTTAACCACAGTTTGCTTGTGCTATTGGTTTTATTCTCATCATTATTATTGTTGTTAATAGTAATAAGAGTAGATGAACAGAAAATAAAATAGAAAGAACACCGTCTGCGATCATGGCTTAAGTTTCTTCACACTTTCACCAAAACAGAGCGAGGATGACAGACAGGACTGAGAGAGGGTGTAATCTCGATCTATAGCTTGAAAACCATATGGAAGGTCTTAAGCAGCCTACCATATGTTGAGTGCTTTTGTTATGGAAATCTTATTTTTGGCACTTTCATTGCACAGTCTTGCTGGGCACAAAAACAAAATAGAAAAAAAAAACCCACAAAGATGTACGAAGCTCCCAGGAAACACTGAGAGACATACTGCTAATGTGGACTGTCGAAAGCTACAGATGCTATAATTAATACAAGACTTGTCCCTGATTGTTATTATTGTCATCCAGACTGCAACTGGTACCTGTATTTATCTGTACTGAAAAACGAAACTCAACAAAGTTGTACATGCATTTTCAAATTATTGCTGTGATATATATATATTTACAAATTTAAAGAGGAACAATCTGGCTTTCTTTTTTTATCATTTAACTGGATAAATCCTGTATTTATGGAGTACAATTAGATTTTGCTTTTCTGCATATCCTCCTTTTGTGCAATCCAAGTTTGAGACTTGTCATGTACATTGAGACAGGAATCACATCATTTAAAGTTCCAAACTGTGCCAAAGGAAAGTAATAAGAAAGTGTATCTAGTATCATTTTTAACATGGACTTTAAAAATAGATTCCCCTGAAAGTCCCAGGTAATATTAAACAGAAAAGAATTACTAGAGCAAAACATTTCAGATAAACTCTGCAGTTTCTTTTAGGGGCGTTTTTGTGAAAAGGTGACGTGAATACTACATTTCTTGTGGGAAATATACATACACACTACTCACACTGGAGTAACTAGTTATAAAAATACAGATTTCTTTGCTGATTAAATTATGGCTTTGTGTCTTAGGCAAGACGTTTAACAAAAGGCTCGAATAAGTATCTTCTTCTGAAAAACACAAACTGCATTCTTTGAGATTACTGGCATTTTCTCCCAGAGGGATCAAATCTGCACTGATTAACTATATTAAAATGAGACAGGTGTTTTAATAAAAGAGACTCACAAAAGCATTTGGGAGCCGCTAATCCGAGTCTGGAGGATTTTGGACTGCAGAATCGGGCACCAGTATCTCATCAACACGCTGAGATCACGTTAATGATTGCTGGAGTTAAATATAGATGGGAAGAAAATTGAAGGATCCTACTAACTGTCAGCTATTATGCGAATACAAAGCCATTATTCGCATTGTGTCATTTATATGCATACAGTATCTAAAACACTGACTCTACAGATACGTGCTGGTCACTCTGAGAGTCAGTAACTCTCAGCCCGCACTCTGTCTCGGTGCGAACGAGCGCTAACGCCTTTCTCCTTCACACTGGAAATTTAAATATACCTAATAAACTCCTACTTAAATGCTCCTATCATCTAGAATTTAACGATACTCTATTTTGCATAAAGGGTTTTGTTTAAAGGTGTAAAATGGTGGCTGCAGCCGCCCAGGTCTTTGGTAATTCCAACGCTACAGGTTCGTATGAATTTTTAATTCTCCAGAAGTTTTTTTTTACACAGGTATGCACCACTGGGTGCTTCAGAGGTTGTTTTTTTTTTTACATGCTTTAACATTTTTGTATAATTCTCATTATTTGCTGCTTAATCCTCTGAGAGACTGGCCTCATAAATCGCTACCATTGCTTGTAAAGCGCTTTGATTATTGTTTCTGAGGCTTAATAGCCTGTCAGTAAAAAGTCTCTCTCAGCATGTACAAGTGACCACCAGGGATATTGCATTGCAGATCGGTTTATGAAGGAAAACCTGCAGGGAAATGATTACAGGGGCAGTCTTTAGTGGCAATTTTTCACTCCAGAAATTCAGCATTTCAGAGCTTTTTTTTTCCAAGAGTTATTTAAATGGAAATCGGTTGCCGAGTTTTCCGAGACCCAAACAACAATAAAAAGAACTACAACGAATGCAATTAATCAGCCATAATGGGATACTACACTGGTAGTAAATAGCCGTACATACTGTGATAGTGTTGAGCTTACAGAGTTGTCCTCGAAGGGATTAATCTCAGTGGCTAGCAGGGGTCATTATTGCCCATAACATTACTGTAAAAGCTGTAAAGAAACGCGAGGAAATGATTGGTGTGGTCAGTTACTGAAGTTTAACATACCTACTGGGGGAATTAAGACAAGGCTGTTCAACAAAATGGAGGATTTTGTTTTTATTTTTTTTCACTCTCTTATTATTTTCCAGATGGAGAAAATGCCTGAAAACATTAAGGACATTTGTGAAAATAGATCTGCGTAATTGTAAAGAGATTATTGCCCATGAAAACAATTGCTTTTTCGTTTTAAATACTTCAAATATTATACATTGTTCCTCTTTAAGAAAGCAGCCCTAAGGGCTGTCTACAGTTTCTCATGCATATAAACAATTTCTTTGTAGGTCAGCAGCATCTTACAAGGTCATTTTGTTCAATGGCAATACATGTTATTAACACATTAATAAATAATTAAATAAATAAATAACCCATCAATAAATAGCTAGAGTCACAAAAATGCTACATAAAGAAGATGCCGTTCATTCAAAGTGACAAGCGCTTTTGGCAACAAAAATAAAATAAGAACACAAGTCCTTTGTAACTGAGGGTTTACAAATCCTTTGTTGTTTGAGGTAATTGTAGTGGATCGCTCCGGTTTTTATGAACTTGGATTGCTCATTGTGTGCTGTGGCAGACACCCTCGGAACCACAGAGAAAAGCCGGTTCGAATTAACAAACGCAGCCGAAGGAAGAGCAATGAGGGTCTCATTTATGTAGAAGCTGTGTATCATGCACCTGGTTTATTTGCTAAAAAGGGTCATAGAAGTTGGCTATGCCCCAAATGCTATTGCTTCGCCGTATCCTGCTAAGAGCCATACGTTCATTTAGTCACTTACGGAAACTCTGTAAGCTGTGTCTTTCTGAACAGCAGGGAGCCTCGATATGCAATTCTGTCAACCTCCTGCCTTGCAAGACTTCGATACAAGCACCTCCTTCATTAATCTACAGCTGTTGACTGCTTCAAAGAAAATGAACGAATCCGTCGCAGGCGTTGCAACAGGAAGGATCACAAATCGAGACAGTCTCTTAAGCCTTCAGGCAGTTAAATCTGCTCTCTTCAGTAGAAGATTTCACCGAACATCTGAACAAAGGCAGCCAACTGGTTGCTGCCGAAACGTGTGCATTACTTTAGCATTGCCCCTCAGGTGGGCTCGATTGATTGGAACAGCCGACCAACAGCGCAACATACGGTTTTCCTGCGCAACGCCGAGTTGGAAAAGGTAGCAAAATGCCTCTTGCAAAGCTCAGTCAATGCATAGTAACAGGACGTCACTGCAAACTAACAGTGCAAATTCACTATGGCGTACTATTACAGAAAAGTCGAAGCCCTATTCAGGTAAACTCACGAGTTGCTTAAAGAATGTTCTTTTTATCTGTATTTTATACAGATTTAAGATCATTCAGCCCCTTGGATCTTCACACCCTCTCAAGTACCGATTCGCATCATATCTAAATTTATGGTTAAAATAGACTTCGAGTAAATCTTTATTTTTAAATTAGCTCCCTACTGTTTTTTCAGAAAGCTATTTTTCTTCCTTTGTGGGAATATCTACAGTATTCACACTCATGGTCTTGTCACAAAACATCCCTTTTCACGTATTATGACAAAGAGGTCTTAATGACCCCTAGGACCTTTTCCCAGAGTCTTATAATTTAGCGAGGACACTTAACCAGACAAAGGGGCTTGAATAAATGAAAGAAAAACCATAGCTTGACATCTTGCAGAGGAACAGCAGCAAGCAGAAATGTGAATATCTGAAGCAACCATAAAGGGACAGAATTCTAACGATTACATTTCTGCCCCTATTATCAGGCTGCATTCACAAAGGGTCTAATAATTTGCTATCACCAATGCCTTTTTTAAAGGAATTAAATCCCCAAAGAGTGTTTCAAATACATCAAGTCTCAGCAGGTGGGGTAGCTTATAGATGCTGAGTATGGTTCATTCTCCATGTGCACATTTACAAACTGCAGAAGAGAACGAGGCTACTGTAGCCCTAAATCTGAGGAAAGTGCTTTGCACATAGCAGGCTATCTTTTGTTTGTTTTTCTGATTATATAAAGGCCAGACAACAGCAACATTTCATTCATGAATTGAAGAAAATGTAGGCAGCAACTCAGTGATGCCCTTCCTTTAGAAATATGCTTTGCAAATAAAATTTGGAATATGTGAGGAAAAGAGCATGTTTTGATTCACCTCCTTAAACAATCCCTGGTTTTGGGTTGGAAGACCGAGAAATGAAACCCAGACAAATCTGTACCCACAGTTACAAAGCTGTTCTGCATCCAACAAACAATTTTGGGAATGATTGGCACAGTAAATAATACTGAGAAATAATGATGATACTGGCATAAAGAAAAAAAAAAGTAATCGTCATTGAATTAAATACTCAACTGTGACACACAAAGTTTAAGTTTTCAACCTAAAATGGCATTTTTTTTCTTTGTTTTTCTTCTTTTTTTTTGCAAATACGGTCATTGTTCAATTCGTAGTCTTTTTCGCGGTTCATAAAAAGTTCTTGTTGGCTGTTGCAAAAGAATCGCATCCTTAGCAAAAAGAAAAAAAAAAGCAGCATAAAAATACAAGAGGTCATTTTTTTTGTTCCTATAAAAGAAAAAAAAGAGTTGCAGTCACCTTTTTTTTGTTCATTTTTTCTGTTTTTTTTTTCTTCCCCACAGCCTTTGCTATAAAATATTAGGAATAGGAATATTATTACTATTATAAGTATTACTATAATTCGTATTATTATCAATAAAAATCCACATGCCAGGCCTCGTAAGTAATAGGTGTGTAAGTGTTCAAGAGTGTGTGTGTGTGCGCGTGTAGCAACTGTTTCCGAAAAATCCAGCATACACATTTTTGTCTTTGTAGTTATTACTAGTTGTTCTTGAAATAATCTCAGTGAAAATATTGCTTTCTAAAAACAAATGGAGGGGGGAGGGGAGGGATTGGGGGTAGGGGGTTCGGTCCCACCCCTCCCGTCAGTTCTCCGAGCCGGAGTCATCCTCTTGGGAGCCTTTGAAGCAGGCCGACTCGTAGTGCTTGTTCAGGTAGGACTTGAGGGCAAAGGTTTTATTGCAGCGCTTGCATTTGTAGTGCTTGAAGGCAGAGTGGGTTTGCATGTGGGCCCGCAGGTTGGACCGGTCGGCGAAGGCCTTGCCGCAGTGGGCGCAGGCGAAGGGCTTCTCCCCCGTGTGGGAGCGCATGTGGCCCTGGAGCAGCCAGGGCCGGCTGAAGGCCTTGCCGCACACGTCGCACTTGTGCTTGAGGTCGTGGGTGAGGATGTGCATGGCCAGGGCGGGCATGGAGACGTAGACCTTCTCGCAGGTGGGGCACTTGCGCGCCATCTTGCTGTCCAGGCTGCGGTGGGTCTGCTTGTGCCGGCTCAGGTTGGAGGAGGTGGCATAGGTCTTGCC